GTCCCTGGGTCAATGTAACACTTTGGACTCTGGCTAAGGGAACGTTTTGTGTCCTCATCAAGTATTTTATGTTTAATTGCGGTGTCCCTTGGGAGGAATACACTTAAATTTGGATCCAAAATACCGCCGACTGACTCTTGTGCTTGGAGCAGACGAAGTCCTGTCTCATTGTCCACAATACCCTTCTTCATTGCCTCAAATACAGAGAGAGGTTTGGCTGAATATGGATCTTTGTAACCCACTGCAGCTGCTTCTGCACTCAATAAGATATCCCGATCTTTGATATCCACCACTCTATTATTACAAGCCTCTTCTACTGTAAATTTCTTGTTGTTTTTAGGGTCAATGATATGGCCCGTTGCAGCCTGTGCTTCCAGGAGCATATCTGCGCATTCTGATGGCAAAATGTCTTTTTCTTTGGCTTCATTAAATGTTAGAAGACCTTTATTTCCAGCTACAATCCCAGCAATTGGCCCGGTGCCCTTTAAATAAACACGTTTGTCTAATGACACCTCTGGAATAGTCTTTATACCCTTTTGAAGATCATTCAATGTAGGTTTGTCTATGACTTTACACTCCACTAATTCTTTTGCTGTGACTGGTTTTCGAACACCCTCAAAAATAACTTTGGAAGCATTCACTTTCTCAGTCACTGGTAAAAGAAGCAGCCCTGTTGTAGGTTCCGTCTTACATCTTTTCTTTAAGTCATGATAACTCACAGCTTCTTCTGTCTCTGGGTCAATGTAACACTTGGGACTCTGGTCTAGGAAATCTTTTGTGTTTTCATCAATGATTTTACGTTTAATGGCTGTATCTTCTGGGAGGAACACACTTACATTTGGATCTAAGATACCTCCAACAGACTCTTGTGCTTGTAGCAGACGGAGTCCTGTCTCATTGTCCACAATACCCTTCTTCATTGCCTCAAAAACAGACAGAGGTTTAGAAGTATGTGGATCTGTGTACCCAACAGCGGCTTTCTCTGCAACCAACAATTTGTCTCGATCCTCACTATCAACTGTTTCATTCGTGCATGCTTCATTCACAGTCAGCTTCTTGTTGTTTTTAGGGTCAATTATGTGGCCTGTTGCAGCCTGTGCTTCGAGTAGCAAATCAGCACAAAGTGGAGTCAAAAACAGTTGCTTCTTTGCCTCTGATAAGGACATTTTGGTTTTACCTACAGTAATCGCAGCAATTGGTCCAGTGCCCTTCAGGTTAACTTTTTTCTCCTCAGATACTTCTGGTACAGATTTCTTTTCTCTTTGCAAATATTTAAGTAGTGGCTTATCGAACACTTCACAGTCAAATAATTGTTTTGCAGTGACCGGCTTACGAACACCATCAAAAATCAGTTTAGATGCATCCAGTTTTTCAGCAACTGGCAAAAGTAGTAGCCCTGTTGTAGGCTCTGTCTTACATCTTTTCTTCAAGTCATTGTAACTTACAGGTTCTTCTGTCTCTGGGTCAATGTAACACTTAGGACTCTGGTTTAAGGAACGTTTTGTGTTTTCATCCAATATTGTTCGTTTAATAGCGGTGTCCTTTGGGAGAAAAACACTTAACTTTGGATCCAAAATACCTCCAACAGACTCTTGTGCTTGTAGCAGACGAAGTCCTGTCTCATTGTCCACAAGGCGCTTCTTCATTGCCTCAAACACAGACAAAGGTTTTGTGGAATATGGATCTTTGTATCCCACAGCAGCTGCTTCTGATTCAAGTAACATTTCTTTTTCATCAATATCAACCACTTCATTCTTTAACGCCTCCTCTACTGTCAGCTTCTTGTTGTTTTTAAGGTCAATTACATGGCCTGTTGCAATCTGTGCTTCAAGAAGAAAATTAGCACACCTAGAAGGTATAAGCATTTCTTTCTTTGCTTCTGATAAAGATATTTTCCCCCGGTTGTCCATAATAAGTCCTGCAATAGGACCTGTTCCCTTTAAATTAACCTTTTTCTCAATTGATACCTCTGGAATTGATTTTTTTGCGGCCTGGAGATCTTTCAGTGTAGGCTTATCTACAATCTGACAGTCATGTAATTGTTGGGCTGTGACCGGCTTACGGACACCATCAAATATCAGTTTAGATGGATTCAGTTTATCAGCCACTGGCAAAAGTAGTAAGCCTGTTTTAGGTTCTGTCTTACATTTTTTCTTTAAGTCATTATAACTTACAGTTTCATCTGTCTCTGGGTCCAGGTAACACTTTGGAAATTTAAGCAAATCATCCCAAGTGGTTTTGTCCATAATGTTATGCTCTATAGCTGTATCTTTTGGGAGGAACACACTTAAATTAGGTTCTAATATACCGCCAACCGATTCTTGTGCTTGTAAAAGACGAAGTCCAGTCTCAGCATCCACAAGCCCCTTCTTCATGGCCTCAAAGACAGACAGAGGTTTGGCTGAATATGGATCTATGTAGCCCACTGCAGCTGCCTCTGCAGCCAGTAGCCAGCTTCGATCTTTGTCGTCGACCACGTTTTTGGCACAAGCCTCTTCTACGGTCAGTTTCCTATTGCATTTTGGATCAATGATGTGTCCTGTGGCAGCCTGGGCTTCCATAAGTAAATTTGCGCACTCAGGTGACAACAATGTATCCCTCTTTCCGTGTGTGAAGGAAACATTTACTTCAGTTGTAGAAATTATTCCTGCAATAGGGCCAGTTCCCTTAAGATTGATTTTTTTGTCTTCTGAAATATCTGGAACTGACTTTTTCCCAGTTTGAAGATCTTTCAGCGTAGACGTTTCAATGACTTTACAATCGTGTAACTGTTTTGCTGTGACCGGCTTGCGAACCCCTTCAAAAATCAGTTCATCTGGATCCAGTTTCTCAACCACAGGCAGAAGTAGCAGGCCTGTGTGCGGTTCTGTCTTACATCTTTTCTTTAAGTCATTGTAACTTACAGGTTCCTCTGTCTCTGGATCAATGTAACATTTTTGACTTTGATTTAGAAGATTGTTTGTACCATCATCAATCAAATTGTGCTTTTTAGCAGTGTCCACAGCAAGAAACACACTTATATTTGGATCTAAAATACCTCCAACAGACTCTTGTGCTTGTAGCAGACGAAGTCCTGTCTCATTGTCCACAAGCCCCTTCTTCATTGCCTCAAAAACAGACAGAGGTTTGGCTGAATATGGATCTTTGTACCCAACAGCAGCTGCCTCTGCGGCCAGTAACAGGTCTCTATCACTTAAGTCTACCACGTCTTTATTACAAGCCTCTTCCACAGTCAGTTTCTTGTTATTTTTGGAATCAATTATGTGGCCTGTAGCAGCTTGAGCTTCAAGCAGTAGATCTGCACAATCTGTGGACAGAAGCTTTTTCTTCTTGGCCTCATTTAGAGTAAATGTTGTGTTTTTTCCGGCTATTATTCCAGCAATTGGCCCAGTTCCCTTTAAGTTAATTTTCTTATCAGCAGACACCTCTGGAATAGACTTTTTTCCTGTTTGCAGATCTTTAAGCGTTGGCTTGTCAATTACCTCGCAATCGTGTAGTTGTTTTGCTGTCACAGGCTTCCGAACACCTTCAAAAATCAATTTAGATGGATCCTGTTTCTCTGTAACTAGTAAAAGTAGCAGACCTGTGTGGGGTTCTGTCTTACATTTTTTCTTTAAGTCATCATAACTGACAGGTTCCTCTGTCTCTGGGTCAATGTAACACTTAGGACACTGTTTCAGGGAATCTTTAGTTTTTTCATCAATTATATTTCTTTTCGTGGCAGTTTCCTCTGGGAGGAACACACTTAGATTGGGATCCAAGATACCGCCAACAGCCTCCTGTGCTTGAAGCAGACGAAGTCCTGTCTCATTGTCCACAAGCCCCTTCTGCATGGCCTCAAATACAGACAGAGGTTTGGTTGAGTATGGATCTTTGTAGCCAATGGCAGCGGCCTCTGCGGCCAGCAATTCTTCCTTATCGATTATGTCTATAACCTTTTTGTCACATGCCTCATCCACAGTCAGCTTCTTATTGTTTTTTGGATCAATAATGTGGCCTGTTGCAGCCTGAGCTTCCAGGAGCAAATCAGCACAGTCCTGAGGTAAAATCATTTGCTTCTTAGCTTCAGTTAAAGACATTTTCCCTCTCTTTCCAGGGATGATTCCAGCAATTGGTCCTGTTCCTTTGAGTGGAATTCGTTTGTCTGCAGCCACTGCAGGCACTGTTTTTGTTCCTCGTTCAAGATCTTTAAAAGTGTCTTTATCTAAGACGTCACAGTCGAGAAGTTGTTTGGCTGTAACTGGTTTACGGACACCATCAAAGACTAGTTTGGAAGGGTCAATTTTTTCAGGCACAGGAAGTAGAAGCAGACCAGTGTGTGGCTCTACTTTGCATTTCCTTTTCAGGGACAAGTAGGTTATTCCATCTTCACTTTCAGGATCTAAGTAAAGTTCAGGCTTTTGATATAAAGCATGATAAATATCTTCATCAAGAAGATCACGTTCAATGGCTGTTTCTTTTGGAAGAAACACACTTAGAATTGGATCTAAAATCCCCCCGACTGCTTCCTGAGCTTGTAAAAATCTTAGAGTTGTTTCCCTGTCAATTTGACCTTTTTTCATTGCTTCAAATGCTGAAATTGGTTTGTTGGATTCAGGACTACAGTATCCAACTGCGGCTGCCTCAGCGCCTAACAATCTATCATGATCTTTAATATCTATGACACCATGGTTATAAGCCTCATCAACTGTCAACTTTTGATTAGTTTTAGTGTCAATAATGTGTCCCGTAGCTGCTTGGGCATCAAGTAACAAATCTGCACAATTTGGTGGCAGAATGCTTTTCTTTTTGGCCTCAGTGAATGACATTTTTTTGGAAGAGCATCTACTTGAACCGGGTACTTTTGAGTTCTCAATAATAACTCCAGCTATTGGGCCTGTGCCTTTGAGATTCACAATTTTATCCTCTGACACTTCAGGTATATTGCTTCGCCCATTAACAAGATCATTAAATGTTGTTTTCTCTAATACCCCACAATCAACCAAATCTTCTGCAGTTACTGGTTTACGGACACCTTCAAAAACCAACATGGGTGTGGATGGTTCTCTGGCCTGCTTTTGCTCAGGGACCCTGGTTGACTTAATGACAGTTTGCTTATCTTGAATCTCTGCTTCATGCTTCAATTTGATGAGTCTGAGCTCTTCTTCTAGAGCCTGTATACGATCCCTCTCCTTTTCAGCCATCTGGAGAAGAACAAAGCACAAAATTAGTCAGAATAACATTATATATAACATGTGAATTCTAATGGATCTCCATATCACAACACACAAAAAACGAAATTTCTAGGGCCAACAAAGGTCCAAATCAATTCCAACCTTTATGGATGGCCATTCGATGCACATACAATTCTAGCATTTTAACAGGAGGAACATGAGATTATGAAAAAGCGGTGATCATATGCCAAATAATATTATAATTGTCCATCCTATTACCATGCTACAATGATCTAAGGTACTGCACTAGTGCAGCTTAATTTCAACAATTGTAGTACATGCAAACAATATTCATATGCAGGCCTGTCACAATTATATATCATTCAATCATTATTGGATGGAACAACATTTATGTGGCTCAATTATTATGGTCTGTATATTTTCTTTGCAATATTAAGATTTTTTGTCATTTTCTTTCATATGACTTTTAATGATAGTGAAAAATGGTTTACAGGGATCATTATATGTCCTGCATTTTTAGTGTGACAGGCATATTCATATGACTGCAAGCACAAAACAAAGATGAACTTACTACTACAGCAAATTACATGATTAAATTCTACTTTCAGACAATCAAACCAGTAATAGATTTCTGCAAAACAAACACAGAACGGCATGCCCACTCAGGTTTGAGGGATGGAGAGTATGTTTGTGTTCCAAGATAGGGACAAACATGCAAAGAACTTCAAACACATAATATTTGTATGTGTTCATCAGAGTGAGAGATCTATGCTTCATGCAGCTAAATCATTGGATGAATAGAGAAAGAGAAGTCTGGGACGAAGAGGCCGAAAAGTACCTCAATGGCCTCGATTTGTATTTTCTCAGCCTCAGCCTTCAGTTTCTCCCTCTCAGATGTGAGCTGAGACACCAGGTTACGATAGTCTGCATTACTGCCCTCACTCGCTCTCAGCTGAAGCTCCAGCGCTGTTATTTGAGAAGCAAGTTCGTCATGATTTCCGTTAGTAACATGATGTGTTGCTTGTTGCTCCTCTTCAGTCTTCTCTCTTGCATGTTTCTCTAATATCTCCTTTAACCGTAGAATCTCTGCATTGTTCTTAGTCAAAGTTTCACTCTTCAACTCTATGGTTTTGCAAAGTTCTTCATTTTTTGTGTTTACGTCTTTAACTTGCTTCTGTTCCTGTGCAAGCTGTTGCTTTGTAGCTTCCAGTTCAGCAAACATCTCCATCAGTCTGTCTGAAGTCGCCTGGTTTTGATGTAAACTAGTTTCTAATTCGGATTCCAACCTAAGATATTCTGCCTCCCATCTCTGCTCTGTGCTGCCTGGTTGCGGCTGTAAATCTGTACATGTATATTCCACCAAAGCCACACACTTCTTTTCCATCTCCGCTTCCATCTGCTTTCTCTTGGTCACCTCCTCTTGACTGCTTGTTCTCAGGGTTTCAACTTGACTCTCGAGCGAATCCCGGACTCCCTGAAGATCTTTGACACGTCCTTGTAATCGGTTCATGTTTTGCTCTAATCTGAGCCGCTCTTTATGTTCCCTCTCCAACTCAAACTGCAACTTCTCCAGCTCATCCTCGCAGTCCTGCAGCCGAGTTGTGACTTCTGTTGAATACGCCAGCTGCTGTTGAAGCTGTGAAATGGTCTGCTCCAGTACCACTTGTCCAACTTCAATTGTTTGTCTTCTGCGAGATTCCTCATCGAGGTTGTGTATTGTATAGGCCAGCTGATTGCTCTGCTCCTGTAGTTTTTGCATGGCCTCCTCTATCTCCCCCCTATAGTGGCTGCTGTCCTCCTGCCCTTGCCTCATTACCATCTCTATCTGACTTTCAAGGTCCATTCGTTTTTTGGCTTCTTCTGCGATAATCGATTGCTGATTGTGGACCTCCTGCTCCATTCTTTTGCATTGATCTTCAGCTTGCAACTTAGAAATTCGTAAGCTTCTCAGTTCTTCCTCCATATTTCTCTTTTCGGTCTCCATGCGCTCACATTGCCCCTGCAGCTCTGCTATCTCCTCTTCTCTCTGAGCTGTAACCTTTCGCATTTCTGTGCGGCTAATGTGAATTTCAGACTCAAAACTTAATTTCATGTTACTGATTTCAGCACCGTATTGACCCCTTACCTTTGACATATCTCTTTGAAGCTCTTTGATCCGTAGAGAATCCTCATCGAGTTGTCGTCTCAGTCTTTCAATCTCACGATCTTTGCTGGAAACGCTTTTCTCCACCTCCATTTTGGACCAACTTACTGTCTCCAGCTCTTTTTGCCTTTTTTTCAGAGCCGTGTCATATTCTTCGTCCTGCTGGGTGTAACGCTCCTCCGCTAATCTACGCTTCCTCTTTTCTTCCTCTAGCAGATATTTCACACGTGACAGTTGCTCATTCAGATCAACAAGTTGGCTCTGAGTGCTATCCAAGTTTTCCTTAGTGGCACTAAACTGTAAGGCTGTGTTGCGCTTAACCTCTTCCATTGACAGTAGCTCATTTTTAGACTGAGACATCTCCCGCTGATACTGGTTCAGTGCATCTTCCAGTGACTTGTTTTTTGCAGCGTGGTCTTTTATTTCTCCACGCAGCAAGCGCAGTTCTTCTTCCATCAACTCAATCCTTGTATTCCGAATCTATATAGAGCAGATGGGAATCCATTAGAAATGATAAACAAAACTGTATTGTATGGATAGACACACATAACTATGCAAAACCTAAAGTACCTTGAGCTCTTCCATATTTTTAAGCAGTTCTCCTAAAAACTTGTAATAGTCACTGGAGACAGTAAGTAGCTCCATGTAGCGGGTCTGTAATTGAGTAGCCTGAGAAAATTCATCAAAAGTTGAGTACTCATTTGGGGAGTAAAACCTTTCACATTTATTTCTATGTAATTGTTTCTGGTACCTCCAGATTCAGATCCGTTGTTGGTGACCGCAGCATTGTTCTTTTGATAGGGACATTCAGTATTGTTTCTAAACCGGAACTGTAAGCTGTGAGGTCCGTTTCATAATCCTATAAAAAGATAGTTCAGAATTTATGAAGGAATAAGAGAAATGTAAAGTCATAGGAAAAAGTCCTTACTTTTATTGAGGTGACACAAGCTTCATTGTCCTTAAGAACACTGTCTACTTCTCCCCTCTTTGCAATGATTTCCGAGTTAAGAGCCTAAAGAGTATTGACAGTCAGATTTATTCATTCATTGAAGTAAAACTTTAAGTCATTAAGTATAAACCTTCTGGTTGGTGATGAGCTCTCTCAGTGATTCGACGTTGCTGGGTTTGGTTGCTTGAAGTGTATCTTGTTTCTTTCGTGTTGTGTCAATCCAATCCAGCAGTGATGTGCTTGTTTCTTGATAGTTTTTAAGTGTAGGAAGGTAGAGCTTTAGATCCTGGTGTCTGAAATGATAAAGATTCTGTCATTGTCTACCTGTTAGACGTTAGAGGGTCTAACTAAAAGGACGGTGGTGATGATCCAGGACACTCAACCTTCAACAATATTTACGGATATGTATCATAATTTCTTTGTGTTTGATTCTCTGATCTGTGTTGGCGAACTCAAAGGTTTTGTTAAGTCCTTGGAGATGACTACTGTTGTTTTTTAGGGCTATACAAGAATACATTGAATCTAAATGGATTGAATAATCCATCTATGAAGGAGTAGAGATGCTTCCACATGTATCATCCTCAAGCTCATCAGGGAGAAAGTGTTCCCCGGCTCGCTAAGAGACATAGTTTCTCCAGCATGTCCAGGTTCTTCCCCGAGGACATGTCCATAAAAACCTCCCTAATCACATTTGTCCTAATAATGATTAAAGCAACTTACTGGTTTCAAATGACTTACAAATTACACAACCATTCAAGTTCTTTCTAACTAATACCTGATATGATGAAACTAAATTAAGGAAGTGACTGTATTATAACTGTTCTCTAACTGTTTTCCTACATATTGGAACATTCTGTACCTGGTGTCGATCTGTGCTTGGATGCGCCTCCATCGCTCAGACAGCTGCGTGACTTGGTCTGTGTATTTGGACACCATCATGTCACATCTGTGGTATGGGCCGCTCACCTGGCCGCTCCAATGTGTTGCTTTAGCCAGTTCTGCCTCCATTGAGGAAACTATGTCCCTTTTATGTTCAAGTTCTACTTTAATATTCTGAAAAATAAAACAAGGTTATTGTCATGTGAAACCATTCCAAATGAAATAAAGAGAAGATCAAATACAGTACCTTAAGTGTTGAAATATAAGCTTCCACCTCACGAGGTGTTAGGGAAGTTGTCTCCTTTTCTGTTAATCTGGCCTCATGAACTTTCACTATGTCCTCTGTACGAGCAACACTCTCCAGCATGTCTCTTAGAGCCCTTAGCCTTAATTTAAAGAGTCAAATTTAACATGAATATTAACAAAAAGAAGCCAATACAATTATCTTATAAAGCATGGGTGTCAAATTCAAGGCCCTGGGGCCAGATCCGGCCCGCAAATGAATTATCTTGGGAGCCATTAGAAAATATTAGATTATTCCTTTAATGTTAAGGACATGAGTTTTCTCTTTGAAGAAAGTTTTGTTTTTGTCTGTGATGTGAGCATGTAAAAAATATTGGTTAAACAGGTTATCTGCAATCATTTTAATATGTTTTAATAAAAGTTGAACCAGTCAAGCGCATTTGGTTATTTGGCCTCTGATATATTTGGTTTTGACCTCCCTGTTTTAAAGCAATGAAGATGCAGACATACCGCTGCAGATAGGCAGATGAACTGCTTTCCAAACCGGCTAGTCGTTGGTTGATGACTCCAATTTCAGTGCGAAGGAATTGAGCTTTGTCTGAATCGCTCATGCCGTCCAGCTCCTTCATGATGCGCTCCCTTAAGTTCAGATACACCTCCCTCATCAAGTCCACGTCACGCTGCACCATCTGCAGGACATCAGATCATCAATGTTGTAAACTAGATACTCCATTCTAAACTTATTTTTAATGTAAATTAAAAAGTGTTAAAATTCTTTCTTTGGACAGACATTGGAAATTATCCGAAGAAAGCGAGGTACTTGATTTGAAATAAACGACGCAAGCTCCCTCCCCCTTCCTTTCTGATTGGTCTATGCCTACGTTTCTGTAACACTTTTAAATGTTAATCAGAGAACACATTATACATATACATTATTAATACACATGCACAGAGGTTTTCAGAATTTTTTGTTAACGTTTTCATGAAAAAAATGATGTTTTAATGCACAAAAAAAAGCGATCGCGCAAACCCCGGAAGAAGCTATTATCATTGATTGAACATTATAGGACACATCTGCAGAGGATCTGATTATGGATATAGGTTCAGTATATAAATGATTATGGATATAGGTTCAGTATATAAATGATTATGGATATAGGTTCAGTATATAAATAGGTAACTCAGCGCAGATGTTCAGAATTCTTTGTTCAGTTTTTATGTAGTTCCAGAGCCAAATAGAGGCTTGATTCGGAGGCTCCGCAAAAACAAACAACTGAGCATGCGCACAGCTGCGATCATCAGCGCTGATGATTGACAGCCCATGGCATGACTCGATTGGTTAACTTCGACGGCATCGTGGATTCTGAGCTATAGCTAAGAGAAGGGACTTACCCGTAATATTAGAATTAATAAAATGACTTATTGTATATCAAAATTTAAGGCCAGGAGGTCAATTTAATACAATTCTTAAAATTTGTAATTCATTTAGAGTTTTAGACTATCACTTTAAGTGTACACACTTAAAATGAATGAATCAATAAATCATTATTATCATCTTATCCTTGGTCTAGGAGTGCTTTCTAAAGGAAAGATCTAGAATGGAAACTTTTATAATGGTAATAATGAGCCTTCTTTGACTTATTGTTTATTTAAGAAATGGCTACAGTATGTAAGTACGGACAGACAATAGTGTGTACAGATAATATGATGAAGAAAATATTTCTACCTCTAATTGTTGGATTTTCAGGCTACAATCCTGCAGTCCTTCATCTCCCAGACAGATATGAATCTGCTGACTCAGTGTGCCTTCTGCAGCCTCCAGCCGCATTCGAAGCGCCTGGAGCTCAGACAGACTGAGGAAGGATGTGGACGAGGAGGAGGATGACGACGAGTGGATCACCTTTCTCTTGATCGGCTCCGCTTTGGTTACTCTCACAGTTTCCTTCTTCACTTCTACTTTCTTCTCTGAGAGTTTCCTCAGCTCAGCTCTGCGTCTCTCCTCTTCTTTAAGACGTCGTGCTTCCTCTTCCGCTCTACGTGCCTCTTCCAGTCTCCGAGCCTCCTCCAACCTCCAAGCCTCCTCTAACCTCCGGGCCTCTTCCAACCTTCGAGCCTCTTCCAACCTTCGAGCCTCTTCCAACCTTCGAGCCTCTTCCATCTGATGGGCTTCCTCCAGTCTTTGAGCCTCTTCATGTCTTTGTATTTGCTCCAGTCTGTAAGCTTCGTCTTGTGTTTGCTGCTGCTGGATAATGAAAATATGTTGTGGCTGTGCTTGCATTGTTAGCTGGTGTAGTTGTTGTGGCTGTTGCTGCTGTTCAACCACCTGGTACACCTCTGATTGCTCTTGTGCAACTGTGGAGAAAGAAATATGTATGTTATCAACATATAGATGGACTGGTAAAACTGTAAAACTAACCCTTGTCCTTTTTTTTATTTAAAGCACATTCATATTGTACCTTTTATAAGGCAACCTTGAAAATGTATTATCATTATTTTTATTAATATCAGCTCCCCTACATCACAACAGAGCGACTGCATCCCTACGGACAATGTTTGACAGTGTCACACTCCAACCATTCCTCACTCAAATCTTCCACTTAAAAAGGTCATTAAAGGACCTCTCAATCCAAGCAGAAAGCATGCCACCTTTTACAGGCCTGTAATCATTGCCTTGGATTTTGAGTTGCTCATTTTCAGCAGTCCTGGTTTGATAAAGTTGATCTGCAAATGGCTGAGATTCGATCCTGGGAACCCACATCTGTGCCAAGAAATTCTCTCCACTTTGCACCAACTGCTGCAATGCAAGCCCTCTGGGTGAAATGCCCTCCCCAGATTTGAACATGAACTCCCATGATCGCCTACACACCCGATGAAGGTTTTGTAGAGCTGGTTCAGTGTTCGGTGGCCTGGATGAAAAACATACAGTTTCTTCTGAATCCAAGATTGGACTATAGGGTGGAGTCTCTCCAGTCACCTGGGATAGAGCTTACCAGGGAGATGGTGGAGTTTACACGATAATTTATTTTTAAGAAGGAAGACGTCATAGTGGACTGGCACGTCTCTAAAATATTGCAGTGGTGGACACTTAAGGGGTGGGGGTCTCGGCTCTTCCTGGAGACTTGACAACAAGACGTTTGTGATCTGCGCCAAAGAGATGGAAATATCCATCCAAATGTTACAGCCGCTGGACATGCCATGGGACTGAAGAAAACCAAAAAGTATTCCTTCCACTGTTTTGCAATATCCTCAGTCAAGGTCAACAGCCCTCCAGAATTTTTCTTCCAAATGATGAATGTATGTGTGTTTTATGTATATAACAAAAACTATATTTTTTTGTTAAGATGGAAAAACTAACCATATGTCGGCAGCTCCACCACCAGTTTGTCATAATGGGCCTGGGCAACATTGAACTGTGCTTCGATGCTTCTCTTGTCTTCGTCTGCAAACAGCTGCGAGCCCTGAGAGCTGACTTTGAACTCCTCATAGTGAGTCTCCAGGCTCTTGATGATCTTCCGGTACTCCTCAGGACGCATCTTTGCCAGCTGAACGGAGGCACATGGGTATTGAGCTCAATAACAGAATGATTATAAAAATTATAGATAGTTGAATTATATTTGCTTACCATGGTTATGGTAAGTGAGTTGATTTGTTGTATATCCAGTAGACAGTACTGCCAAGCGACAAGGCTTTTGACATTGATGTACAGTTGATTCCAGACGGATAAGATGGCTTCATAGTACTGTTCATTCCTTTAAACAATAAAATCAGTACATGTATTATTTATGATGGACTTGATTTGATAAAGCCATGACCAAAATAGTAAATATTTATTAACTGCTGTGCTGTAAATACACCAGATTAGTCAATATATGGACTAAATGGAAATAAAGCTGCAAGAAATAAAGCAGGGACACAAGTATAGGAAAGAACAACCCCCTCCACTTTTTCAGCAAAACTCTCTGGTCTTGTTTGACAAGCACGTATCAGCAGAATGATTGACAATGGGGAGGAACAATAGTCTTGATGATCTTAATTTATTCTTTATGTCCCGTGAATTATCCTTTTAATACTCTTATCAATGTGGTAAAGTGAATTTTTGTGTTGAAAATGTGTGTGTATAACATGTGTAATTGGTAACACAAAAAGCCCCTTTGACTTCCCTTTCTATGGGATCAAAACAGGGCGATACAAAATAAAGTAGCAAAGGACCTGCCAGTTTGTTCTTAGTTGCTATCCATATGTTTTGACATGGGCGTGGCGGAGGAGGAGAGTTGGCATCAGCCGTGTGCTTAGAATCAGGTGGTTTCTCCAACAATACACACAGATATCTTTGCTCTTGTCAGTCGACCCATAACATCCATTTTGGCATTTCGCGCTTGACAAACCAGTCTCTTTCACAGCGAGCTAACAGCAAGGCTCAAGAAAAACACAAACCAAACTCTAGCAGAGGGGAGGGGGTATCCTATTCCTGTTTCTGGTTTCTGTAGTTTTTCTGCCGCTACAAACAGTGACCACAGCAACAACAACAAAAAGTATAGTTGGTCTTACAAATTAATCGCACAAAAATTTGCGGCGTTAATATTGATTTGCATTGACACATCTAAAACACAATATTTTGGACAGCACTAATTATAATTGATAGTATGTGGTGTGTGTTCCTCACTTATTGGCGAGGCTGATGCTGATGGGGTTGGGTGGTGGGATGATGAGGCACACAGATGGCACCATCATGTCCAGTCCTCCAGGTCCTGTCACCTGCCATTTACTGCGCTGACTGTTGTCTTTTAGAATGGCCTCATTGTCCTTCAAGATCACCTTCTGCAAGTGGATGTGTTGTTATAATAAAGGCAACCTTTGAGGAGACAATGTGAGTAGTTGTAGGTCAGCTGACCTGGTCCTGTTTAAAGTCACAAAGGGCTTTCACAATGACGGGGTTGCTGCTTTTTGGCTCCTCTGGACTTCGGGGTTTCAGTCTCACGATGCTCTTTGACTTGATCACCAAATGCTGGACTTGCCTTTTATGGTCCTTGATTTTTTCTCGTTCCCTCTGAATGTTCATAAATATTCATACAATCAAATACTGTCGATTATTGAACCAGTGTCTGCAGATATCGTTAAGTGAAAACCAACTTGATTGCGTTGGTGTGAGTTCACATACTGTAAAATAGGGGACTTTACCTCCAGGCCTTTCAGAAGATCTAGCAGATTCTCCAAAGGGGTATCTTTGTCGCAGGTAAACTTCTTTCGCACCGTCTCATGCTCCTTTTGCAGAGATGTATACGTCTCATTGGCTTCTTTAAAGAACTGTAACAATATGGAATAAAATTAATTTCTTCCATTGCTATTGTTAGGGTTAGGGTTAGGGCTGTTGTGGACCAAAATAGTAGTAGTAGTAGTAGTGTATTTTTTTCGTACATCAGATCTCAGGTCACACGGTTACAAAGATCACATATACTTTTTACAACAAGAAATAATAAAAAAAGAACCAAAATGTGTCCATAAAGGACCTTGTGCGGAACAGTACCTGACCGAAAGGGGTTTAGGCTGAAGTCGAAACTTATACTGCCTAACCCCTATTAAAATTTGACAATACGTCCAAAAATGGACATTTAACAAACACAAGACCTACAAAATGTTGCCTTATTTTTTTCAATTTTCAATGTATCCTTGTATTGCCCTAAATTACAAAAGTAGTTATCTCACAGGACTTAAAAAAAAACTTTGAAATCACCAACACAGAGAATATAGAACACATAGGTATTGGTCCATAGGGATTTGACCAATGTCCATGAATGTTGATAAATGTCTATAAATGTTGTAGAACGTTAGAGTGTCTAAGTGGGCGAAAAGTGAGAAACCTCGGGGATATACGCTAGTTGTTCTAGAGACGAAAAGTTGCTTCATAATATAATACTGTTAAACTAGCTCACAAACAGACCACTTGTCCCTTTGGGTATATTTCAGAATCAGAATCCTTTTATTTCCATGTGAGTAACAGGAAGTCACAAATTAGGAAATTGCTTTGGGTCTTGGTGCAAACAAGTTAAAGCGGAATAAAGTCAAGAAGGCATGCATAAATAAATAAAAATATATTTATCAACCTTTGTGCTAAACCCCAGGTGCAAAGTTAGTCATTAGTTCTTTAAGAAGTGCATGCTAAATCAGTTTAGTGGCGCTAATTACTTTGGTACACATTTTACTGTGTCCTCATGTACAGAACCTGTTTGGGCAAAAGTCACTATGGACTCTCCTTACCTGGTTATATGTTCCATTTTCTTTCAAGTGAAAGTCAATACACTTAGTAATTTGAAGAAGCCAACTCCACTGAGTTTGTAGTGTGTCTCTGTAAGCCTGCACATGCAAACATCACATATTAGCAAAACACTTCAAATGTGTAGTTTTGGTTATTGAATACATTTAAAATCACACCTGAATCTTGTCAGACGCTGGATGATTGTTTTTAAGAAGGGTGTCGCCTTTTGTTTTAAGTTTATTCAGCTCCTTCTCCTTCTCCTCAAGTGCACTCATCAGTTTCTGTTCAAACATTCAGAAAACATTGAAGACACACACATTAGCTCAGTGCAGTTACATAAACCTATCTCTCTCCAAGTGAATGACTGCAGCTGCCAAAAACGCAAAAGACACAGTTAATTGGAGGCTTATGCTATTCAAGACGATTACCCAATGCAAAAAGCATCCACGGCCTCTTTTCTGAGCCAAGAAGTGGAACGTCGGACAAACATGACTAACCGAGTAGCTCTCTTGTTTCTTGGGGATGTACTGGTCAATGTTTCTGTCTCCCCAGTCAAAAATCAGCTCCTCTTCTTCTCTGTCGTTCACCCACATGATCTCTTTGGAAATGTCCTGGATGATCTGCAGCAGGTCTCTCAACTGCTGGACCCGCGTAAAAGACATTTGCTGAAACCAAAAAACAAAAGTGTTAATGCCTCACTGTAAGCATCATGATAGACACACACAATGGCTTTTACCTGCAGACTGTCCCACTCTTGTTCAAGTGCATGAAGGAAAGCTCGGTCGCCCTTTTTCATCTAAGGGCGAAAAAAACAAAGTCAGACTTGTTTTTTATGCCTCCTGTCTTCCTTTGCTGCTTCAAAAGTGCTTACGAGTTCGTCTCTGGCCTTGTCCACCTCTTGGCTTCTCTGGATGGAGCTGTGAAACTTTTGGTGGCTGATTAGCTGCTGTTCGATGGTTGTCGGGTCATCTCCCCAAGAAGCAGTTTCAATTAGACGCTGAGGAAGACATTCAGTTTATCAGAAATGAACAGGAAGCAGTGGAAAAACAAGCTCAAATACTGTATGTAAAGATTGAGAGAACTTACACAGCAAATCATAATGTGTTAGCACGGATTTTGCAGGTATTTTAACCTTTTTTTCACATGTTTGCACACTTCCTGTCTTTGTGCACACACTGAGTGATTCTATCGCTGCCAAATGTGTACATTTCTCCATTGTGAGATGGGTAGAATTTATCTTATATCATCTTAAAACTCTGAATAACTTCCCATTAATGCTCTCTGCACCTACGCTACACTTGGAGATCATGTGAAAAGGTTTGGACACTCCTTCACTACTAATTCCCAGCTATGACTTACAGTTATTATTTTCAATGGTTGGACAGGCATTTTAGTTTAGTTTAGTTTAGATTATTTGTTTGTCACATACACATTACATGCAGTTAAATTCTTATGTACCTCCAGCAGATGTTGAGTACAGTATTCACACAACAACAGAGAAGTAAAAACACAGAAGCATTAACAGAGATAGAGTTAGGTCTAGATTAGCAGTCTTATGGCTTCAGGGAAGAAACTCTTTCTCATCCTCTCAGTATTAGTCTTGAGGATACGACAGCGCCTCCCAGAGGGCATGAAAATAAGATAAGATAAGATAAAGATCACACTGAAGAAATGTACATGTCACATTTGGCACAGATGGAATCACTCAGATTGTGCAAAAGACAGAAGTGTGCAACATGTTAAAGGTTAAAGATATAGTCTGTGCGGGATATGTGATGTACAATAAAAAGTGGCAATAGCAGTGCAGGGTTTTTCAGTCCTGGTGCATTAGTGACTTAAAGTGACTCATTGTACAGTCTGACAGGGGTGGGGATGAAGGCCCTGCGGTAGCGCTCCTTCTTGCATATTTAAATTCTACACAAGTTTTAGCCTTAAATGAGAAAGCTAGCACTCATAACACCCTCAAATAGTCAGCCGGATGAAGAAGGTGTGTGAAATGGATTGGAAGCAAAACGTTTAGAATAATTTAGGTATTTTGTAAATGTATCTAAGTTGCTTGTGATTAATGTGTACTAATTATTTCCATGCCCACTTACATACAAAAAAGGTCAATCTGCAGTAGTGGAATACAGTGAGTGGACTAACCTTGTGCTGTGCGATCCAGGCCATAGCATCCTGGTAGCTCCGCGGCGGCTCGTCCCACGCTCCTCCCATTGCCGCTGCTCCAGAGGTGCTGGGAGCCCTGTTGCTCTTCCGTCTGCGCATGGATCCGGTCAGAGCGATGTGGACCCCCTTCAGCTGATCCTTACAGATCTCCACACTGTTTTAGGTGCAAAAGAAAAAAGTGTTATAGGAAGTTTAAACCACAGAACAAAAGCCAACAGACGCGTGCTTACGTTCTCACGACGTTATCGTTGGGCTGACCCATCTGCCTCAGGTCCAAAGCACAGTTCTTCAGCTGCTCGATTGTCTCTTTGGCCATTCCCATTAAACCCTCGGCATCTCCAGAGTTACCCTAAAACACAAGATACCATCAATGGAGAAGCAGTAGGCTATTCATTCACTAGTCACTTTACCTGCTGCTATTACTAGTGTATTTTCTGCTGCTAAAGTACAATATACACATCTGTAAAAATACCTCCAAGCTCAATTATAGCTCCGGAGTTGTATTTTATTTTATTTCATTCTATTTTATCATCCTATTATTATTGTTTTATTATTTTAGTTGTATTACCTATTATCCTACAGGTAGATAGGCGAGTTTCCCAAAGTTTAGGAAAGAACCGCCCTCTCCACTTTTTGAACCAAACTCTCTGGTCTTATTTGACGAGCATGTATCACCAGAATTATTGACAATTGGAAGGACCAATAGTCTTGATGATCCACCCGGAAGTAGAAAATCCTCCTATGTACCTTTAAATAACAGACTCTGTTTGATGTATGCATGAGTTCTCTTATGTCCTTCTTTATTTTCTGCTGTAATGTGAGGAACGATGACATTGAAATTTCCCCACTGTGGGGCAAATAAAATAAAATCTTATCTTATAACTGACAACAATATACAGTGTGACAATCAAATAATGTGCACACAGATTCAATATTTAACATAAATCTCTATACGGCACTCCACTAAAAGTAATGGCCCTTTTAACATAAACCTGCTCCCAATTAAAATGTTTAAAAATTTACAGCCATTTCATTGTCAACTCATTGTCAGAATTAACCCTGGAGAGCTGCCACTTTTTGCAGTGAGATGCCAGAGTGTGTTGTTAAAACACAGGGTGCTCTGGAGCGCACATATCACAGAGAGGTGCAAAGTTATCCAAGGACGATTCAAGTTTAATGACTCACAGTTTGAAGGGCGTATTCAGCTTTCTTCAGGTATTCTTGGCAGTTGCCCTGGAGGATCATGGCTTTTTGGTGGATGGCATTGAGACTGCTGGGACTGAAACAACAAAAAGAATTGAGGTAATTAACTTAACTTAATGAAAGTTTATTGATATAGAACAATTTGTACAGAACAGACTTCAAAGTGTCTTACAAAGAGCCTAAAAGACACAATAAAACACAGAATGCAATACAAATATGCAATGGTGGTATACTATTTTAAGTATCAGTGATAGTATCAGTGATAGTCAGTCGTATACACAGCTTATCAGGCTCAGAGTTCCAGCACGAGACCAGTCCCTGTACTACTCAAAGTCAGAGTTGGTCTATTTTGCACTAACATGTCGCTAATGTACTTTGGTACAAGGCCGTGGAGAGACTTTTACACAAGAAGAGATGCTTTAACGTATATTCTCTGAGCCACAGGAAGCCAGTGCAGAGACCTGAGAACTGGAATAATATGATCGTATGTTCCTGGTTCAAGTCAGGACTCGAGCTGCAGTGGTTTGAGTTGCCTGGAACCGTTTTACAGCAGGAGAGCCCAAGGGGAAAAAGAAACTAGAATGTGCACACGCGCCGCCAAAACCACGGAACATTTGAAAAATGTATTGGGGACTACCATCACATCCCGGCCACACTCCAGCACAATCCATCGTTTTTGTGCAATACTCCCAACAGACGAACAAATATGGGAGGGTGGTCCTCTCTTTTTCACTTTTCTGTCTGAAGTCCTGAAGATCTTAACATAGAACCTGAAAGTGACCAACTAGATTTTATTGCAAAGTTACATGTTTTGTGGCTTGAAAGTTAGGTACCCCACTCAAAAGCCTTTTCTGTGTGTATGTGTAAGCTTACACATACACACATGGTACACATTGTTACACACATACAGTGTGTAACAGGAGTTTGGTGCACAACACAACTAACATGAATCATGTCTGTTGACAATATTTAACTATCGTTTTCATTTAATCACTGGTTTCCCCCCGAATATGTAGTCTGGTCTTACCATACCATCATACTCATTTCATTTCGGATTTGTTCCATTGAGCTCCGTTAACAGGTGGGAGGGGTCAACTCCTTTTGCAGATTGAAACGATTGGATCTGAGTTTACTGTGACGTAAGAAATGCACCTGAATGAGTGAGGCATTTAGCATAGCTATAGCATTTAGCCTAGCTTTAGCCATCTCCTTTGCCACTAAAGGAGCCCGTGGGGAGTAGAGCCACAACGTCTTTGCATTGATGACATTTTCTTAACATTCCTCTTGCTCCGGCTTCAATTTCTTGATATTTGGATTGAACCAGAACGGATTACTTTACAATAACATTCTCCGGCAAACTACAACCAGCAAATTCAGCACAAACTTTTGACCTCCCTACAACACCCGCCTTCCCCGCTCTCTGATTGGTTGGAGGAGATTCAACTGAGGAAACTGCAGCCACTAGGATCAGACCCAGACGTACATGTAGGAAATGATCATGGACCAGAGTTTACAGATGGCTTAGACCAGGCTACAGTTTATGTAGAAGTCAAACAAACACGTTTCAGATTAAAAACTTGCATAACCAACTCTTTTTAGCACCACACATTTGCACACTGATATCAAAACACTTTCCAGAACAGCTGCTGCCTGTTCCTCACAGCAGAGCAGTCATATGTTTCTGCTAAAAGTGACAAGTTGGTTTCTGTGATAACAAGTGAGTGCACAGTCGCTGCTGCAGATGGAACGCAGCATTTGATTGTGAGTGATAAATCAGCTACAGGTGGAAACCCTAAAATGTTCTTTACTCTGCTGCCCTGATCCAATCCAGTATCACTCTATCCCATTTAACTAGTTCTTCTACTTTTCACTGTGGCAAATCAAAAAGATCAGACATTATTGATTTTTTCACACTAAAGGAAGTGGATATTATTTACAAGTGCTACTTTTTCAGCACAGAGCAATTGTAATTTTGATGAGCCCTTGTTGGCAATTCTCCACCATTACCAGAAAAGCCCAGATGTTGTACTGTTTGCATTTTAAAGTAGAAACATGTAAGATTTTCATCTCAAGTCATCATTAAAGGGCCCTAATCTGTCAAAAGGCGTTAATAAAACATGCTCAGTTCAAATACTTCTTTAACTGATGACAGTAGTTCAGAGATATTTGAATTTCTAAATTGGAACTACAGCCCTTAAATCTTGTTATTGTTTTCATTTAGATGTCCCGCCCTCCACCGTTTCAGCAATCAGAAAGTCTGTGATCCGAGCACCAGAACTCACCGCGTTGAGCTAATCTCACTGGTAAAGTACCATGTGGCCGCAGAAATAAAAAAAGTACTTGTTATGATTCTCATTTTTCTTGTGAAAAAGGTGCTGGTTATAGATTTGACAAAACTCTTGTCTATTCAGATTTTATGGTCCCAGCTGGATTCGTCTGCATATCTGGCAACCTGAGTCAGGGAGAGTGCAGTACCATTTTTTGCCAGATTTTTACATACTGCTCCTTTAATTTGCAAGTTTAATTTAAGAAAAGCACTTGTAGAACATACCAAGAGGCACAGTTCCATTCCTTAGAAAAAAATCCGGGATTCAGAGATTGATCCAGATCGCCTCCAAAATCTAATTATTTGTTCGTTCCAGAGATTTACTGAAAAGGGCATTAAAATTGACACCAAACCCATTTGAGTTACTGCATGTTGCTAATGATTACAAACAAACCCTTCTCGGTGGAGAAAATATGAACTCATAAACTAAAACACATTTAGCAGAAGATGGAATTTTTACTGAACTGACTTGAGATTTCCCAAACAAAAATGTCCTCGCTGTGGGACGAATAAGACGGTTTTCGTTTACATAAAATAAGAGAACAAGGAACAATGTTTTACTTCAAATGAAGGAACACGTTTCTGTGCTTAAATAAACTAAACCAATAAATCTTAGCAGTGGCGAGATAAACACAGATAGTAACTTTGCAACGCTTCAACGGTTATTTGGAATTAAATCAAATGATAGTCTTTTTGCAACTCAACAAAGCACCAACTATGAAAAATAATCATCAAAATCATACTTTATAAAAGGAAAAATGATGTTGTTATTTTTAACTGTTGTGGCACATATTCTGAAAGTAATGAAAAATTCAGATAATCTTTTGTACAAATAACAAAAAACAAATAATTTTACATTGGTGTCAGTACAAATGCAAATTTACAGTAAGCTGTTAAACACTGATGGACATGTTATTACATTCATCAACTTCATGAATTTAAAGTAGCAATATGTAAGATTCTCAGGTCAATTCATCATTAAACCTCTGTCTGGTCTCATGCACGTCCAACACTCTGCCCAAGAGCCTGTACTGTAGTAGCCCGGTCTTACCACACCATTGCACTCATTTCATTTCTGGATTTGCTCCGTTGACTCCGTTAACAGGTGGGAGGGGTTGACTCCTTTTGCAGATTGAAACGATTGGATCTGAGTTTACTGTGACGTATGTAATGCGCCCAAGTGAGTGAGGCATTTAGCATAGCCTAGCTTTAGCCATCTCCTTTGCCACTAACAGAGCCCGTGGGGAGTAGAGCCACAACATCTTTGCAGCAATGACATTTGCTAAACATTCCTCTTGCTCCAGCTTCAGTTTCTTGATATTTGGAGCCGAACCAGAACGGATTACTTTACAATCGCATTTGCTGAACTGCAACCGCTTCAACTAAATATGTATCAATACATGTTTAAACAAAAAAAACATGCTCTTGTCGTTTTTGTAAGTGCTTCAACATTTAGCAACCAAAAAACATAGAATCTTCACTTTAAGAAAAAGTCGTGTATAAGTACAATTTGTGAACAACACTCTGCATTTATCTTATTAAGAAACATGCTAAAAAGTTCTTTGTGGGTCACTTTTTGACGCTTTGGGCTTGGAGCGGGTAGCAGAGTGAGGGTGGTCCTCTGTTTTCACGTTTGTGTTTGAAAAATCATCTCAAATACATGCATATGAAAACTATATAGAAGCATAATTTTTTTTTTTCCATGAGGGCCGTTATGTTTGAAAGTTTGGCTTGGTTTGAAAGTTAGGTACCCCGGCTTTAATTTGACGGGAACAATGCAAACTGCTCAGGTGACTTGTGGCTCTGTTGGAGCCAGATCCTATCAAGTTACTTTCTGTGCATAGGTTATGTTCTCTGTCTGTCTAAGAAACCTCTTAAAAGAAATATATATCATTCACACTATAACCATGCATTGTATAGATCGTCCTGTCGGCTTTGTTATTATCCAATACAAGCACCATCTTCTATATTTTAACTTATTAGTTTACCTCTGCTGGTTCAATGTAAATAACGTCACAATAATAGCCCACACAGTATTAGACCTATTGGCTGTTACCAAAAGACTACAGTGTAGCTGTGATCAGGACCCTCTGCAGGCCTACCTGATGCCGCCCCCCATGGAGGCCTTGGAGCTGTAGCTGTAGGAGTTGTAGCCCTCCATGTACGGGTCATAGCCACTGCCCCCGACTGGCACCTCACTGCGGGCGTAGTAGGTCCCCCCGCCGCTGAGTTCACCTTTGGAGCTGACCCTTCGATTCATGCTGAGAGCTTTCTGAGAGCCGTACAGACTCATGCTGGTGTGCGGACAGTGCACCTGTCCCGCAGCCCTGTCCCTGCGGCTGCCACAGCACTGTCCACTGTCCCTGCGCTGAGGAGCAGCACTTGTGGAGGAAAACCACACCTCTGCACTGAAGCGCTGACTGGGAACTTTTCCTCTTGTGTGAGGACACTCCCCCTCTTCACAACATAACAGTGTCTGTGCTGCAGGCTCTGTTCTGAGTGAAATAAGATAGGTGTGGTGTAATAGCAGACTTTACTAATGTATATTATAAAGACTGAAGATTAATGAATGAAAAGCTCAAGTTATTTTACAATTGTCAGCCTCAGGCCTGTGTTGCTGGATAAAGTGAGGTTCTATGGGACTGGATGCACAGGTGTTCAGACTGAGGCTATGCTGGAGAAAACAAGGAAGTAATCAAGTTGAATCCATGGGTTCATAAGTGATAAGTGCAGGGTGTCCTTCCATGGACAGGCCTTATCTAATTAAAAATCAAATAACACTCAATAGAGTTTTCCTCTCACTTCACTCAAGTGGGAATATTCTCTGATGTCTGACTGACATTGGGATGATTGTCAGGTAATGTTTTCACTCTTCTCTTTGGAGCCAATTCCGTAACAGCCATCTGTCTAAAGACAGGCTCCACTCTGACACTTGCCTGTAGTCATAGGAGGGACGTGCAGGAAAAACAAGTCTGACGGCTGAAAATGTGAAGGAGCTAAGAGTTTAAGGACTTACAAGAGCTTTGGTGTTTTCAGCTCTTCATTTTTTGGCAATGTGTTAAAACAAAAATAAAAATAACAGTAATTATTCATAAAACAAAATATAAAAAAAGATTTTAGCTGATGTCTTTATCATAGTTGAAGGGATCAGATATGATCAAACTGTTCATTCTGCAGAAACATTGCATGTTTGTGAACTCATATGAATGAGAAAAACAGGAATTTAGATTAAAAATACACACATTTCAAATAGAAAAAGCAAGATCTTCTTTGCAGGATGCTCACAGACTTCCACTTATAGTTCCAGTGTTGAGGGTGAATAAGGAACTTGTGATGAATGATTACTTTCACCTGCTCAGGTTGTTTCAGGCAGAGGAAATACGAGTCGGTCGGACTCTCCTTTCACACAGATATTCACATTTAGGTTTTGTCTTGAATAGATTAATAAAGTATATAGTTCTGATATATTTAATATTCACTTATCTTTTGCTGTGTGCTCCTCATTCCTGTTGTTTTTTAACTTCAAGATTCAAGAATTTATTTGCCATTTGCAGAAAAACCACATGCAAAAAACTGTGCAAGACTACCCCAGTGTCTTGTGATGCAACACTGAAACTTCCCCGCTAGATAGATAGATACTTTATTGATCCCTATAGAAGAAAGGCAGGTGTCCAGCAGCAGCAGAAACACATGCATTTATACAAACAAATAAATACATACACATCTAAAAGTCACAAACAATAGTAATACAGTTTTGGGTCCCAGCAAATAGAAGAATGCCTTTATTTGAAAGTGAGAGTTCCTGTGACGAGACACGGATCTGTCTGTTGCTTTTTTTCATTAAAAAATACAAGTAATATCTTTCAAAATGAATCTGAGGAGAAAAAAGTCCCAACTTCAGCCTGTGATGTTCCCTGCGGCAGGAACTCGCCCTTGCCTGCACTTAAAAGGCAGATATGCAGCTTCGACACAAAACAACATTCCTCCGTCAGAGAAACTTTCTCTCGTGGCGTCTTTGTAGCAGCTTCGTTATGTTTCTTAGGCCCATGATGATGTCACTGAGTCTGAATGATACTATTTTGGTCTTATTTCAGATTGTTAAATTATTGTTATTTTGATTGTGGAATACTCTGCAAGCTACTGTGACAACGTAATTTCCCTTGTGGATCAATAAATCTGTCTGAGTCTAGTCTAGGAGTGTGTCCTTGTACATGTCGGGACAAACTTAAGCTGGATTTCACTTGTGAATGTTATGTATTGCATGCATAATGTTCATAATAAAATGTCTTTAAACTTTTCCCACACCTCTGCAAAGATTATCACTGCAGACATGACTGAGCTTGCAGAGCGACACCTTCTGGAAATGCATTTGATATGAGTATTTTGTATTATTTTAAAATATATTACTTCGTGTGCAGCATTTGGTTCCGATGCATTTTCTTAAAAGCTTGCCCTGTCATTATCTTGAACGTAGATTTTTGCGAAACTTCTTCAGAGCACTCAGACTTTCATGTTGTGTTTTCTGCAGCTCTTCCCTCTGTGATGTCACATCTCCGGCCTCCTCAGAGCAGTCGTGTGCAAACATCACTGAGGCTGAAAAGCTGAAACATACAAAGGATTGTTGACTTTGTTCTAAATATTGAAACATCCTTAATCCTCTCTTTGTAAATGTTTATGTAGGGATCAAACAGCAATGTTCACACATGACACTAATATACTATATCTTTACTTACTAATGCTAACTTAAGTTTACTTTGTGACCAATACTATTTTATTATCATCATTATTGTTGTTGTTGTAGTTGTTGCTATTATATATTTTAAATCTGGAGAGACTGGAACAGACAAAACATGGGTATTATTAGAACTGTATATTGTTTGGCAGTAATCTGACACTACATCAATTACACATATGACTCTGAGGACAATATTTTCAAGATTACATTACAGTTGCTGTTCAGAAATGTGGTAAGAAATTACAGATTGCAGAAGGAGAAAAAGATTATGAGATGAAATCCCCCGGACTAACCCATTATTTTCTAAATAATTGTATAAATCCAACAACAATGTGAATATAGAATAATACCCTCCTACCCAATCAGACTTTTATATATTTTAAACAGCCTTTTTTTTGTGCTTTACAATGGTTATTTGATATTTTTTTCTGCCTGAGATGTATCTGCAGTTCAGTGTTCATGGTTTTACACTGATCCAGACCAGAGCAGAGAGGATTCAATATTACCAAACAGGCTCCAACAACAAACAATATCCTCTGGAGGAATGCTAACTTTTTGATAAATGCTAGTAAAACGCAGTCAGCATTTTACTCTGGACCAGAGCAGAGAAAATGGTCCAAACCAAGCTGCTCCACCTCTGCTGCTGTGACCTGAAGTGCTCTTGCATTTTAATACTACTGTTAGACACTTTTAAAATGATGTATTTATTTGTTTTGTTTGTTTGAATGGATGTGTTTCTGCTGCTACTGCACACCTGTATTTCTCCTACAGGGATCAATAAAGTATCTATCTTTTTATCTATCTATATGTTTAATGATAGGTAGTCAGACTTTGAAGGCTCCGAGCCCTTTACATCACTGAAACACACTCACACACTTTTATAATGGGAGTGAAGCAGGTAAATGTCAGTTTTATCATTCACGTGTGGAGCTGGAATCACACGTGCATTTGTGAGTCAGGAGATTTGAATGACAGCTGCAGTGAGACTGAAATCTTCTGGTGAAAAGACACACACGCTGCAAAGCTTCTGTCTCAATAGAAATGTCAACACAACAGATGCCCTAAAACTACAATCGCATACACTGTTGTAAGATGACAAAAGGGTTACTCAACAGAGAACACACAATTTAGGAATGTCCACCCCAGAGCAGACAGCAGAGGTCGAATGAAGTCACAAAGTAGGGCTGGGCGATATGGCAAAAAAAAAAAATCTCCAATTTTTTCACACCAAATCCGATTTTCGATTTTAAATCGATTTATTTTTTTCTATTTAAAAACAAACTACAACTGACAAAGAAATAGATTTTCCTTTATGCAGTTTAATCTAAATCCCCATGGAGCATAAGTGTAACAGGAATTAAGCCTTAAAACATGCTTGTAAACGAGATGGCTCTGCCATTGTAAACAGTGAAAATGTAGCTTAACAGTTTTATAATAACTTCACTTACAATGACACTATGCACCTTCAAAATAACTTAAATCACACAAACAAGGCCCATCGCAAATATATCAATCCTATTAAACACATGCATTATTTACATGAAATATCACATTTTAAAAACTGATTACTCAAAATAGAAATGTTGTAACAGTCTTTTCCAAAAGCCTCCTCGGGTTTTCATGCTTGTTCTTTCAACTGTGCCTGAGTAACTGTGCTGTAGTACAACGCTCGGGTCCAGCTGGTGGCGCTAATACTAACTTCAGTGACTCCCGCATTGTGCGAGCTTCCTGTTTACATTCTGATGCTGTAGCTAACAGCTACTGTAGCTAACAGCTACTGTAGCTAGCAGCTACTGTAGCTAACAGCTACTGTAGCAGCTACTGTAGCTAACAGACAGCGGGGAACACGTTGTTTGTATCAGAGCAATGAGAACAATGTGTGAGACGTGTCTTTCCCCAAAGTGCAGCGGCTCAGTGGGACACGAGTGTGTGCGCGCCACGGACACGGGAGTGCGCTTTGGAATAACGAGCGTGAGAGCGTGAAAGATGTGGCGTACGAACATGGCGTACGAACATAGCGACCGGGGCTTGCGTGCGTGTGTGTTTGTGTTCTGGCGATTTAAATAAAGTCTGATTCTTGAACGTTTGAAGTGTTATTGCAACAGCACCAACTGTGAGAGCGAGCATCAGGCCAGAGGGAGACTGTTAGCATTAGGTTAGCTTCAAAATGACTGCTCAACACCATAGACCCGCGGTTAGCGCGTTAGCGCTGTAGTTCTGCGCTGGAGAAAATAAAAATCGAATTTTTAAAAAAAGAAATTGCCCTAAACGTAAAACTCGAATTAATGATTAAAATCGATTAATCGCCCAGCCCTATCACAAAGATACCAACCTTCAAACCTGGACAATGATCGACCCCAGAAACAAGCATCTTTGCCTCCCTCTCCAGCGAGATCAAAGATCAAATCGGGTCTGTATAATCTCCGATAAGGCCTGAGGCATTTCTCCCAGGCAGACTGGCGATCCACCAACGGCGTTCTGACGCCCCCAGTGGACACGGGACGCTAGCACACCCGAGATGGACAGTCGAACCATCGCTCTGTGAAGTCATTATTCTG